CTCGGGGTGGGGAGCCCGCCCTCCCGCGCTGCCAGCGCTGAGCCCGGCGCGCCTCGGGGCCGCGGCCCACACTGTGCCACCCTGTCCGACGCGGTTGCGAGCGTCGGAGAGGAGCCGTGCGCCCGCCCTCCTGTTCCCGCGCCGGGCCCCCTCTGGGCCGAGGGCAGAGTTCGCGGTGGCGAAGCAAAGACTGCGGAGCAAACTCGGATTTCACTTCAGTTGTGTGACGCACCACGGAACTCGAGGGAAGCGATTTAATGTCGTCTTAGAAGTAGAGATAGAAACACTGCCCTGTAGAGATAGAAACACTGCACTGTAGAGATAGAAACACTGCACTGTAGTGAAGACAAGAAGTAACGTGTGTTGAGGAATAGCTTAAGTATTGTGTGAACTCACTAATTGGTAGCTGTTCATAGTAGTTCAGTATTAAAACGTGAAGGAACACAAGTCTTAACTCATAATGTTGGCAGAGTTACACGGTATGAATACCACCAGTCTGCTAAGACTTTATGGAAGGTATTCAGAAAGTTTAAAATTTCTGGCTAGTACTCGTCACATGTAGTATGAGGTCTGTAACAGTTCATCTGGACATTCAGGCAGGAATTGAATAAAATGAATAATCCTGTGCGTTTAAGCTCATTTAAAAATAGATATAAGTGCAGGGGGCGTTTTTCAGAGTATATTTTCAACATTTTTGGGAGTCTTCGATTTATTTATTTATTTTCAAATCAAATCGGAAGTACAGTTTCAACAAATAATACACTGCATATATTCTTCTTAGTGGTTAATTGCTGTACAAGATGCGGACTTGTGATCCTATTTACAAACACCATTAGAACAAATCATTGTATTCATTAAGAGAATGCAACTATATATCTATCCTAACCACTTTGAATACACAGGAAGAATAACCTAAAAATTGTTAAGTTTTTTTAAGTTTAATGTTATTTCATACTGGACGAATGTATTTCTACTGTAACATCTTGAATTTTTTTAAACTTCAGCATTATGTGTCATTGACGGCATTTAACGTGCTTTTGGTGGTACAGATATACACTAGTAAGATAATGTGCATGAATTTTAGTTCAGTTTGTTAACTGCAAACAGAAAATTACACGCTTTAAGTCCTGTGTTGAGGTTATTGGTGTGACTTTGTGTTTCATATTTGACATTCCATACGACTCTATTATTTGTTATTGACTGCATTTTTGTTTAGTACAATCTCTTTGTATTTTACCTTTTACCTGTAAAAAACAGACATTTCATCAAGTTCTATGAAGCCCACTCTACTGTATCAATTCTCTTCCCATTGGGTCCAGCCCTAGGATTTTGTATTACACAGCTTACACATTTGTGTCTATGTTACTGTTGTCAGTACTGAGCATTAGTTTGGTGTGTTTTTGTTTTGTAACTCCCTGGTCCTTGTCAGTAATTGTTGGGAGTCACATCTCACTTTAAGTAGGTAAGAGGGCTTCATTCTAATTAAGGATGTGTGCTAATAGAGGGTACCAAAGCACAGATATAATGAATAACCAGGGTGATACAAGTAGAAATAGAAAATTGGCGCTTCTGGGTTTTTGACTCCAGATCAGTTTTTTCCACTAATTTTCTGAGTCATGTATTTTTGTTTGTTTGGTTGGTTTGTTTTCTATTGGATTCTGAAGTTTTTTATAGTTAATGTTAACATTAACATGATTCAGATGAATTTCAGCTTCTGGATTCTAAATGTGTGCGAGAGTGTATGAAAACTCAATCATTGTATTTAAGCAATACTTCTAAAAGCTTTTCATTTTTCCAGGTGTGGAAACGTAAACTTTGCCAGAAGAACCAGCTGTAATCGATGTGGTCGAGGTAAGTATTTAAGTAAGGTTGTATTAATCATCTGTGCACAGGGAGTTTATTTTTCCTGGATTCATATTGCATAATTTTTTCTGTTTTCAGAGAAAACAACTGAGGCCAAGATGATGAAAGCCGGGGGTACTGAAATAGGAAAGACTCTGGCAGAAAAGAGCAGAGGCCTGTTTAGTGCCAATGACTGGCAGTGTAAGACGTATGTGTTTCAGACTGTTGCCCACTCTTCCTTCAAGTTATAGTGTACCAGTCACTGCGTATTAATTTTCCAACTGGTGTTAGAGATCTTTTGGTTGTTATTTAATGTATTTCCCATTTTAACTGTGTAATGAAAAGAAATTTTAGATATTTTTGTGTTTCAAAACTTAATATTAGCTGTTATTAACGATGGGCTATGTGTATCAGTAAATAATTGTTTAAGGTGAGGTAATCAAAAAGGGTATGGTATATTAAAAGTTTTAACTTCAGAGGAAAATTTTAACTTCTGTTAATAACATGAAATGCACCACAAAATTCATTTTGTCTGTTTAGGAATAATTTTAGAATTGTAAGTTGCCTAGCATAAAAAATTATTCCTAACTAGATAGGTTTCGTTTGAACTTAGTTCTGTGTTGATTTTCCCAAATTCTTTTCTGCCATGCAAATGAATTCTCTGTGTATGAAAGAAGACTAAGTCAGAAAAGGCTCTTACATAAATTTCCAGTCCTGTAGATTTTAAATTTATAATGGAAAATTTTCTTGCAACCTATTGAGTCAGTACCTTTACTATACTGTAGAATTTAGCAGGGGGAGAAGGGGCTTAATTTAGAGACTGAAAAATTACTGAGACTTTTTAATTGAAAATAGTTACAGTTTTTCTCTTTTTCAAATTCATGAGGGCACACTTTATACTGCATAGATTTTATTCTCTGGCTGAGTCATCCAGCTCATGGTTGGAACCCAAATTCTCTGGACCAATATGTGTTTTCTAAATTTATGGTATTGCTTAGTGAACATCACTTTTGATAGTGATTTCATCCTTATTTTTATTTTGAAATTTGTCTAAAAATTTGTTTTTCTAATATTGTATTATAGCCTTCTGATAACAGTATTTTTTTTTATTTTTATAGTTGCAGTAATGTGAATTGGGCCAGAAGATCTGAGTGTAACATGTGCAACACTCCAAAGTATGCTAAATTAGAAGAAAGAACAGGTAAAACAACCATATTTTAACTAAATGATTTCAAAAAGAATGAACAATTGAATTAATCATAATAGTATCTTTTCAGAAGAACAACAGTACCGAGGATGCTGCTTGTTCTGCCCTACATTCACTGCAAAATTTGTTCCCATATGTATTTTTTAACTTTCTTTTTATACTTTTAGTTTATAATATGCAAATGGGAAGCCGTATGTGGTTATATTAGTACATTTTTAGGTAAGTTTACCACCTGGCACCCCACTGGTTAATTGGTCATAACAGTATTTTCTAGTCATTTGATATCCTCATATAGCAGCAATAAGGACAAAGTGGCACCTTGAAAGAGTTCCTCTGAAGCTCAGACAATAGTTCTCAAACTTGACTGTGTGTTAGAATCATCTGAGAAACTCTAAAAATACAAACTCTAGAGCATGAATCTTTTTAAATCCTTCGCAAATGGGTCCCAGAAACCTGCCTATTGTTTGAATGGTATTTTGTAATCATTGCCCTAAATAATAGTTTACCATTGGCTCTGTGTTGTTAGTGGTAAAATGAAACTTTATCTGGCAGAACTTAGTTTTCCCATTATCATCAGTTAGCCCAACCATGCCACGCATCTGTGTAATTCAAATCTGACTTTATCATTAGCTTTCTAAATTATATGAAAGTGTGCTGTCGTTCTGTCTTGTCATGAAAAAGTAATCTGCACAGTTGCAGCCAGAGCGCTAAGGAGGTGTTTTGTGTTTGTTTGTCCAAACTGAAAAAAACTCCTTTTCTTTAAAGCCTTTTGATTTCTTTTAGGGTTAAATTTTAAACTTTAAACAGTTTTAAAAATTGTAGTCACAAACTGTCTTCATTTAAATTCTCTTTGATTTAAATCGTGACTCCTTTAAGGTTTCACACAGCAGAAGTGGCAGTATAGTAAGTTGTAGTTGGCACAGCTTATGTTGGATTGCATTCTCATTGATTTTCTCTTCCATCCTTGAGATATCCTGAGCGTTTCTACTTTCCTACCTACCACTTTTTTTGTTTTTGTTTTTTTTTAATTCATGTATTTGGCACATGGTGTCACTCTGCAGCTTGGACTCATGTGACTGAAAACAGGAGTTTTCAGTCTCCCCAGTTCCCCAGTGCTGGGATTACATGCACGTGCCACCACACAGGACTCCATGGCTGACTCGATGCGCCCATGGGCAGAATGGGCAAGGCATGCGGAGCCAGGGATCAAACCCCCGGTCCCTGCTACCTACCACTTTCTGCAAAGTAATTTATTCTCTACTCATCTGATTTTTGTAGAGAATAGTGCAGTGGGAAGGTGACAAGAGCAAAAGAAAAAATTTTCACACTTTGTAGTTTTAAAGTAGTAGAACTGGCTGGGGAGATGGCTCAGTGGAATAAGTACTTCCCTGGCAAGTGCAACGGCCTGAGTTCAATCCCCTGTTCCACAAAAAATAAATAAATAAATAAAGTAGTAGAGCTGAAGGAATCATACATGCTGTTCTTCTCATTCACCAGTAACTGTAAATGATCTTAATCTTCTTATTTTAGAAAACTTCTTACTTTGTTTTCCATGTATAGGGAAAGATTTTATGGGTTGGCTTTATTATACGAGTTAATGCCATATACCTTAATATCTTCGTTTTCAGTAAACTTTCTGTAGGTTGTAGGGAAGAATGGGAAAATATTAAAGTGTTTGCTGGAACGAAATACAATAGAGAAAAATGTTTTATTGGTGCAATTTTTCTTTTAGACAGTAAAATGAAAATATGATTTTTTTATTTGATTTTATTTATAGTTCAGAGAACTTAAATATTTACTGAAAAGCAATTAAGGTGAAAATCAGTTAAACCAAGAACAAAGGACAGCTTTTATTCTGTTTTTACATTTACTGTAATTTTTAGGAATTACAAAGTAAGAATTTTTACTGCTTAGTAACTGACACTGCTTTTTTTTTTTTTTTTTTTTTTTTTTGGACACTGCATTTTACTTCAGGAAAATTTCAGTTGATCAAAAGATTTCAGACTCTTCTGGAGTTAGAAGACAATGAAATTTAATTGGTGGTTTTTACTGGGGCTACACTTTTCCCAGAAGAATTACGATACAGTATAGATGAAAACCTTTTTAAAACATGATAATAGCAACAACTTTAGCAAATGTTTTCTATTAATACATTTCATAGGTTATTTTTTGTATTGGAAAATTTGAAATTGAGGAGCAGTACAAGTATAGTTATATGACTTTACAACTAAGATATTCATCTTTGAGACTGGTCTTAGAAGTGACTTGTAAGTAGCTTTTAAAAGATCAGTAATGTACCAGATGGATAGGCAACTGCCATTGATTAGACTCTCTGTTGTTTGCAAGTAATGTGAATGAACATAATGTTACTTAAATGAACTCTTACATGTCTTTTTTAAGGATATGGTGGTGGTTTCAATGAAAGAGAAAATGTTGAATATATAGAAAGAGAAGAATCTGATGGAGAATATGATGAGGTAAGTTATGTAAGGGTACAATGTACAAACTAGGAATACAAGCTAGAAAAACATTAGAAAATATCTTCAGTGCAGAGAAATATTTAAATTTCTCATTTTTGTAAGTCCAGTTTGGGACTTTTCCAATTAATTTACTATTTTCTGGGGAATCATAACTACCTTAATACTAAAAATAATTTTTAGTGAAGTACTAATTTCAATACATTTTTGATTTATAAAAATACGTTGGAACTGTTTTTGTCTAGTTTGGGCGTAAAAAGAAAAAGTACCGAGGGAAGGCAGTTGGACCTGCGTCTATATTAAAGGAAGTTGATGATAAGGAGTCAGAGGGAGAAGAAGAGGATGAGGATGCTGATCTTTCTAAATATAAATTAGATGAGGTAAGTGGTTTCTACATCCCACTTCCCCCTGTCTTATTTGAGACAGTGTGTGACAGGTGCTTTTGGTATCCGTGGACCTTTGGTGAGGACATTGCTCACAAAGAGTAGAGCTCCCACGCTGTTGGACGGTTTGTTTTGAAAATGTAGTACTGTTCAAGACAGCTGTCCTCTCTGTAGGAGGCACATGTAAATGCAGAAGGTGGTACATAGAGTGTTAGGGAAGATGTGATGTGTTTAACAGATCTATAATAAGAGCTACTTTAATTTTTGCAGGTAATTTCTGAGAAGGTGAAATTTGAATTGAGACTTGAGTGATAGGAAGGAGCCACCAAAAAGCCGGAGTAAGGGCAGCTTCTAGAAAGCAACATTTATAGTTTCCATAAGTAAGGAATAAGCCAGCAACATTTTTAAAAACTACCGTCATACGTAGGCCACTGTGGTTAGAACAAAGGAGGTCAGTGCCACTTTGGTGATGTGTGCTCTGTGGCAGGAGTGTGTTTTTATATGGCCTGGCTCTTGTTAAGTTCAGTGAGTCCCGTAGGAGGCTGTGCGGTGCAGGTGTTTAAGATTCAAGCAAGTTACGTATTCTGGTTCTTTGAGGTGACGAGTCTCCATGTGTTGAGATAATGAAGCAAGGAAACAGGGCTAGAGAGATGAATTGAAAGATTACTACAGTAATAGAAAAGCCAAATTCCTAATACAGACTGAAGGTGATAGAATGAGGGACTTTTAAGGGAGCTAGAATTGAAAAACGTGGGACTGACTTTCTAAGTGGTAACAGGTTGTGATGGAAGAGGAAGTATGACGGCTTTACATCTGAGCTGTCCTGAGACAGCAGTCAAATCTGTTTAGCTGAGATGAGCAATTAATAGATGAATTCCAGAACTGAAAAAGAACTTTCTTTGCGGTGCTGACGATATATCCATGGAGATTCTTCTACCTCATGGACCTCTTCACCTTTCCTAAGTAGCATTAATACCTGAGAGTCTGAATATGTAATTGAATTTTTATTAGGATGAGGATGAAGATGATGCTGACCTCTCAAAATATAATCTTGATGCCAGTGAAGAAGAAGATAGTAATAAAAAGAAATCTAATAGAAGAAGTCGCTCAAAGTCTCGGTCTTCACGATCTTCATCGCGCTCGTCCTCCCCCTCCAGTTCAAGGTCCAGGTCCAGGTAAACGGGTACAGGTCAAGGGTAACACCAACCAAAATGTCAGTATCTAACTTTTTTATTTATAAATTTTATTTTTACTTTTTTAACTAAATAGCTTTACTTTCTATTTTTAAAGTTCCATTGATGTCACCATTTAAGACTTTTCATCTTGGTGCCCTGTAGATGTTGTTCAGTATTTTCAGAAATGCAGAATCCTAATATGAAACTTCCTTCCCCTGTTTTAACGTCTTGCTTTTTACTGAAATAGACTTAGAATGACAATTAAATCACAAGATATAATGATAAATTTAAGTAGATAGCTTCCACTAAGCAAAAGAGACATTTATTAAATATGTTAAAAGCTAGTACAGAGACTTTCTAGCCATTGAGATAATTGTTAGATAATTGTTTAAAACTTCAGTTTGATGTCAGTATTCCGAATAGAGGAACTCATTCAGCCTTCCAGTCCTATTAACTTCTCAGAATTTTGAAACATCTAGGAATAAAAAGGTAGACTTGGTGTTGTTTTGTTTGGTTGTATGAAATACACAATTCTCTGATTTTATAGATAAAATCTTTGTAGCTGAGAAAAGCAGTACCTTAAATAGCCTTCTGAAAAACCTTGTTCACAAATGCTACCATGTTCATTGAAAATTTTAACCATATTTAAGAAAAAAGTATTAGATAATAACTCTTAACATTAAGTATTCATTAATTGACTGCAATATAAAGCCTAAAAGTATAAAATAGTGATTAAAAAATAACTTTCAAGGGGCTGGGGAGATGGCTCAGTGGAATAAGCACTTCCCTGGCAAGTGCAAGGGCCTGAGTTCCATCCCCGGTTCTGCCAAAAAAAAAAATAATATAGTTTCAGAAAAAAATGAAACAATGTCTTCCTGTAGGAACAAATTGAGTGAGTTAGGTGAATTTTATATGTAACTGTGGTAGGGTTTTCAGTATATTTTAATTCCGTAGCAGTAACTAGAAAAGCATAATTATCAAATATAAATGTGTTAGTATTTTAGCATGTAATGGTAGGTAAACACCAGGGAAACACAGTTTGTTTTGGGAACACTAGACCAATATTCATTCTGTCTTCTGGATGTGTTAAACCTGAGTGACATCTAATTATAGTTTAATGATTTTAGTGTAATTTGATCAAAGTAAAAAATAATAATTGATTTTTAAATGTTTTTAAAACAAAATTCTTTTTAAAGTGCTTTATAGATATGTATCTTGTGCATTTATTTTTTACATGAAAATGAACTCGCTTAACGCATATTTTTCTTTCAGTGCTCATATCACAAAGCTCATTTAAGTGGTTCTGGAAAAAAAAAATGCTTCCATGTTGTTCCAGGTCCCGTTCAAGAAGTTCTTCCAGTTCGCAGTCAAGATCTCGTTCCAGTTCCAGAGAACGTTCGAGATCTCGTGGGTCGAAATCAAGGTGAATGAGGTAGCATCTCTCTGTGAAGCAGAGAGAAAAAATAGGTTGCAGAGGTGTTGCTGCTTTTCCCCGTTATTTTGCTTCTACTTGTCAGTTTTATTTCAGCATTAGAAAATTAATGCACTTGCCTCAGCTTAATTTCCTCACCATGAGATGTTTCCATTGCCAGCAGTGTGCCAAGACATTCCCATGATTGAATTAAGGTGGCTGTTGCACACTGTGGCCAAGGTTTGTTGTTCTGGTGCTAAGATGTGAAATAGGAAGGTGAACCAAGTCTTAGTGTCAGATCCCTAGTATATTAACACAATTTTTATAGCATAGCTCAAACAAAATTAATACATATTATAGGTAAATTTTATTACTAAAAGGAAAAAGAAATAACTGCCTGAAAACAGTTTGTTTTTCAAGGCAAATACAAAGAAGCAACTTTGTTGTTTATATTAGATAAAGGTTATGGGGAGTATCACGTACATATTTTCAGTTCTCTGCAATTTTAAACAATATTATGGACACTATTTGTAGAATGTTAGACATCCTCTTAAAACTAAATCAAGTACAGGCAGGCAGGCATGATGACATACACCTGTAATCCCAGCACTCCAGAGGCTGAGGCAGGATTACCAAGAGCTTGAGGCTAGCCTGAACTACTTAGGGAGATCCTTTCTCAAAAGAAAGAAAAATGCTTTAAGTATAGTTGGTTGGTTGGTTTAAGTAACAGTCTCAACCATTACTGTTCACCAGTGGTTGCATTTAAACTGTAAAGGGGAAATAATTTGCATAAAAACTTATTTGTTCTCTACAAATACTAGTCAAAATGCGCTGCCTTTATTTTTAAGTTAACTTAGTGATTGTATACTAAAGTCATTAATGTAAGTACAGAAAAACTGAAATCTGACGAGATGAAAATTCACACGGAATTTTAATAATGACACCTACTAGTTGTTTAAGTCAAAGCTAGCATTTCAGGACAGCTATATTTTAATCATTACAGAGAAAAGAAAGGCACATCTGTGTTAAGTCAGTATAAAATAAACATTTTTACTTACGTATTAATATTTTTTAAATTTTAATCCTTCTTAAATAAAAATCCTTCTGTTCTGGTACTCCCTTTTGGGAAACACTGTAAGGTTTACAGAACAACCTTGATACTCTTCCCAAACATTTTTATTGCTCATAACTTTCCAAAGAATTCTCCTTTTGGGCTTTCTGGTTTTATTTTAAGCCCAAAGGTGAATTTTTTGGGAAGTTTGAGCTAAATTCCTTCAACCAATATATGTAAATGAAAAAAAAATTGCATTTATTAATTGTATATTTACTTCTGCCTGAAACATGTGAATGTCAACACGTCATATTCATGAATAGTTTTCATAAAAATAAATATTGTGACTATAAGTCAGGTCTTAAGTTACTCATTTTTCTTTGAATATTTAGCAGTTTCCTACAGTTAATGTTCATTTTTGTTCCTATACCAAACCTCTCATTTTTCTGTAGCATCTTAATTGAGTTGCATAATTCCATAAGGAAATATTACATGTATTCTCTTTAGGAAGTTGTATGTAACATACATTCTACCCAAATGCAATGAGGTATTTTCTGATTATTAAATCATGCAAGTAGAGTTAACCTGTTGATTTTATTATTTATGTTCTTTAAGTTAAAAAGCTTTATAGTCATAAAAAATTACATCCTATGTAAGATGATTTTCAGTTATAAGCAGTGAATACTTACTCTTTTAAAAAGAAATGAAATTAAAATAATTGTATTTAAATAGAGTATTTTCATGGTTCATCCAGAAGTCTTCTGTTGAGTGTAAGCAGTAAGTATTCTTTCTTATTAAAATTTCAGAGTTATAAATTGTTTGCTTAATTTTGGAAACAGAACAGTCTTCCTCATTTCTTTTCTTAATGAAATGTTTGATTTGTTTCTCAATCAATGAAGATCCAGCTCCAGGTCCCACAGGGGCTCTTCTTCCCCACGAAAAAGATCTTACTCAAGTTCGTCATCTTCTCCTGAGAGGAACAGAAAGAGAAGTCGTTCTAGATCTTCTTCTCCTGGTGATCGAAAAAAAAGACGAACAAGATCACGGTCACCCGAAAGGTTTGGGTTTCTGTAGAAATAAGAATGGGTGTTCTTAAAGTGTATTTACTAGACTTCGTGGTCAGGGATTAGTTATCTACTTTCTGTGTTCCAACTTTATTCTTATCTTCAAAACATCAAAACAAAGATAATATTTTGTTTAGCTTGGTACTTGAATCAAGTTTAGAAATTTAGAAATAAGTTGTAGTACAAACTATTCTCTGGTGGTTTTATTGTTTAAATTTTTTTCACATTCGTATTACTTATAGCCAACTCTCGGTTATTTTTGTCTTATAAAGACTGTAATTCAGAAGCTGTATGTTGAAGTAATTTGCAAGTTTATTTTTATATTAAGCTATTTTCAGTTAAGTATTAAAAATGGTAGGGATTCTAGTGCATTTAATAAAATGTTAAAGTTTGATATCACTGGGAATCTTGTTCTCCTTTAAATATGTGTAAGTGGATTTCCATAGCAAATTTGTTTTCCTGCCCTTTATCTGTAAGGAAATTATTCCTCAGAGGTTCTTGCAGTCCAAATTTATTTCTTAAAAGAAGTGCCTTTACTAAATTACTTTGTATTGCCGTTTTAAAGTTTGAGGAGTGCAATTGTTAACTGTCAGCCATTTCTGCAACAGGCTGATGTACTCAATTTTATTTTTTTTGTTTATTCATTCATTTATTTTTGGTTCTCAGTGTCAAATTATTTTAATGACTTCATCCATAATTTTGCCAATTGTCCATATCCTGTTAGTTTGTAGAAAGAAGTATTATAAAGGGTAATAGCTGGGTTCACCAGTAGAATTATCTTATACAGAATGATTTCGTTTTACTTCTTCACATTTTGATACTATGATTACACACCGTCTTGTTTATGTGTATTTGTTTCTTTGTAAGAAAATTACTCTGTACTTGAATGAAATTCATTCTGTTGCTTTCTTATCACTTCCGCAAATTTATCTTAGCCACATATAACCCCCTAGTTTGTTGTCATCTAAACTTAATGAACATGTTCTCTGTTCCATAAGCCAGGTGATTGGTGAAAACACTAAACAACCCTGAGCCCAGGGCCAACCCCTACGGAACACCACTACTTTACCCAGGTTGATATTGAATTATTCATATTAGCTGCATGACTATAACACTGTAACTAATTGTACAGTCATTTTGTGTGACCTAGATTTCCAAAACTTAATTACTTATGAGTATATTTTCTCAAGACACAATTAGAAGCCTTGCTGGATCTGTGAGATACAGGCTTATTACACTATACAGTGTATACAGTGTAGTGAAGAACTGGGTTAGTGACACTCCCCTCGCCGAGTGTACGTGTCTTTGGTGTACACTATATGTAACTTTAGGCATTTTTGCAAGGCTTTTCATTACCTTAAATAATTGAGAGGTGGCTATATCTTGAACTGTGAAGATGGTTGGAAATTGTAGAAGATTTTGATTACAGTTATACCATTAGTGGGCTCACATCTGATGTCTGAGCAACCATCTTAATTTTTAAGCATCTAGGAGTTTAATTTTATAGTCTTTAGCCTGAAGGCTGCTGTCTGTCCCGGCTCACCGGCGCCTGCTCTCTCTGTTGTCTTGCAGGCACCTCAGGTGGTCTTCTGGATCGTCCCGCTCTGGTTCCCGCTCAAGTTCAAAAAAGAAATAATACATTAAAATTTACATCCTAAAGTCATCCAGTACAGTGCATGAAACAGTTTTTAAGAAGTTGATGTCTTATTTGGTCAGAAGTGCTAAATCTGCTAGGAGAGGTGCATGCCTTTATTGTTTTTCAAAATAATGCAATGTGTTCATTTGTGAAATTAAAAGTAAATTGCGTTTTAAGCCATAATGCCCCCAAATAAAAGGTTTTGGGTTTGTTTTTTTTTTTTTTTTTT